CCACAGTCACCAGATCTCAATCCAATAGAGCATCTTTGGGATGTGGTGGAACGGGAGATTTGCATCATGGATGTGCAGCCGACAAATCTGCGGCAACTGTGTGATGCCAACATGTCAATATGGACCAAATTGCTTCCAGCACCTTGTTGAATCTATGCCACGAAGAATTGAGGCAGTTCTGAAGGCAAAAGGGGGTCCAACCCGTTACTAGCATTGGGTTCCTAATAAAGTGGCTGGTGAGTGTATGTGTGTATATATATATATATATATATATATATATATATAACAATTTCTATGTGCATCATGATCTTCGTTTTTTCAAGAGCACTAAAGGAAAATCACTGAGATAATTTTCATAGTTTACCGTATGTTTGTTTTAAGGATGGTAAAATGTTTGCTCAGTATTACACACTTATCAGGGACATTTAGTTTAAGCTAGGTTGTTCAGATGCTACCTGCTAACTTTCTTTTTAAACAAATAAAAAGCTAAGATGTCTCCGTTGACTTGCTGTTGACTTCCTTTTGAGGATTTAGATTTAATTTTGTTTAGTGTTGCATGTTGGAAAGGGAAAGCCAAAGGTAAGAACACATACATGTCAAATTCTTGCTCATTGTACTTAGTAACTACAGTGAATAATATTCTGGATGTCATGACTCAGAACCGAAGACCCAGTATTCAGGCAAGAGAGATGGTGAGATTACTTGAAAAATGTTTAATGAAATCAACAGACTGTGTATATAGGGCCTCTGTGGCAGGAAACTCTGAAGAGAGGAAACACAGGTTAGAAACGACTTGACAGCCTGTTTGCTGACAAGACTCAGCGGTTGCCTATATATATAAAACTATATGTCATTATTTTAGTTGGTATTAGTTGAATAAAACTTAAAAAGGTTTTAGTTTAGTTTTAGTCAGTTTTATGATGCAAAAATATTAACCTTTACTATTTTAAATAACAACCAGATTCTTTACCACACTAACATCTCTTGCCTAGATACTACAATTGCTGCATAGAATGCTGCCGTGCAGTTCATCATTGAGCAGAAAACTTTGATTTATAGAATTCAAATAAACTTTTTTATGAAGGAATACTTTAAAATACTTTTTTTAAGTGTCTCACTAGTTAAACACATCATATTGGTTAATATATCAGACAGACAAGCTAACAAAATGTACAATAAAGAAATGGTTTTAGATATACAAGGTTTCCATTCAAAAGCAAATACTTCCTGATCTACTATTAATTATGCATTAAACACAGATTAATCAATCTTCATTGCTCCAAAAAAGCAAAGAACAAAAACTCGTTGACAAAAACTCAAACGTATGACATGCCATGTTTTTGTCATCAAAGATACATGTTTAGCTCATCATTTTTCGTTGTTGTCATGAAAAAAAGAGGAGTGTTAACAAAAT